GGCGTTTCTCAGAGGAAGGCACAGGGTTCCCAACACTGCCTGCTGCTTCCCCCTGGACACTGAGATCCCAGGATCAGAGGCTGGAGGTGCCAGGCAGGAATCCATCAACATCCCAGGGAGTGTACCTGTTGTATCACCTCAGGCTCAGGACCCCAACTTTTCCAAACACCCTCTTAGCCACAGCTTCTGAGCAAGAAATTACATCAGGTGGATCACAGGTGACATGATAGAAACTCCAGTCTGGTTTATTTCAAAAGGGCAGGGAAACACCCCAAAACTGCACATCTTTCCCTGGACACATCTGCCTCTGAGACCCTGGACACCACTTTACTCTGGATACAGCTAGCCCCAGGCCATCCCACTGAAATGATTTCTTCTGTTTGGCTCTTTGACACTCCTGGTGTCTATGGCTCTGGGCTGCTAGCTGCACTGGTGTCCAGCCCAGGATGGCTGGGTCTGACATCACCTGGGCCACTCTGGTCGATGTAATAGACCTTGGGGGCATCGAAATAAACACAGGTCATGTCGTCCCTATTCCTAATGGGCCATCACAGGTGGGAGTGGTAGGTAGCTGGGTAAACTGGGGGCCGCTGTTGGACACAACTGAATAGCATCAGGCTCCGGTCCACAGTCACAGAGGGCAGGTAGAGCTGCAGTTTGTCCAGGAGGTGACCCGGCCAGAAGAAATTGGGGTGGGTACGCTGTGGACCACGGGGCCTCTTCTCCTTCAGCTTCCTGGAAAAATGAGAAGACACAAGGAAGGTTGTCATGGTGGTGGACAGGGCGGGAGCTCCTCAGCGAGCAAACCAACTGTGGCCATTGAGGAGCTGTAGCATTGCATTTCATGCTTCTATTACCCTGTCTGCCTTACCAGTAAGGACCCAGAGGCCTAGAGAGGATAAGTCATTTCTCCAAGGCTACACACTGACAAGCAGCAGAGTGTAGGCTTGACTCCAGTCTGCTGCCTCAAAAATCCCAACTCTTTACAAGTACATCATCTATTCTCTGGAAACATTTTGATATGGTATTAAGAGTACAGCCTCTGGAGCCAGTGTAGTTGGATTGAATCTGTAAGAAACATGCCTCTGATTTATCTTCATAGAAAAGAAACAGCATCTGGCCAGGCCATTACTGAATTTCCCCAGAGCAAACAGGATGTGGGGGTGGGGAGAGAGGATGAGAGCTGTATATGTGGCTGATAGCACATGTCCTAGGATGATGCCCCTAGCCAAAGAGAGGTGGAGGCAACTAGAGAAGGCCTCAGCCCTTTTTTAAAAAAAATAACCCAATGGGAGACAGAAAGACCTAGGCGACCTCTTAGGAAATAGGTGACCAAATAGTCCTCAGCCAATGAGGAACTGGAGGAGGTCTAAATAAATAGGCTATGTTCCTTGCCCCACGTGTGATCCTGTAAAATGGGCACCCACTCTCGAGAGTGTTATTAAAAGTCTCATTTTTGCCAGGCTTCTGTTTCCTAGTCCGTCATTTGAAATTTGGACAGGTGAGCCATTTCTCACAAATCCCTGCTCCACCACTTTAACAGATGTGTGACTTTAATAAGAAGTGTTCTGTACCTCAGTTTCCTCTTCTGTAGGTTGGGTTTGTGAAAAGTAACTTCGCAGGGTTGTTGAGAGGATTGAAATGAGTTAACACATGGAAAGCACCCAAAGTCTTCCTGGCACTCTAAGTTGTTTTCTGCCTCTCAGCTCCTAGGCACTGCTTCCCCCTGGACACTGGTCCATACCACCCCAGATGCTGTGCTAAGAGCACCATGGAACATGCAGAGTCCCAGGCACCTCCACAAATTGAAGCTAGACCTCCTCCCATCTACCCCCATCCAGAGTTAGATGATTTGTACAGACCTGGTGAATTTCTCAAAATCTTCAAAGTCCATTTTCTTTGACTCTTTCCTAGTGGATAAGAGAGAGAGGTATCTAGTCAGGAGAGGGGAAATCCAGGTTGGTGGGGTCTCAGAGAGTAAGTTGGAGGCCTCAGGATGGGTCCATCTCTGAATCTAAACCAAAGCTTTGAAAGGAGAATTTTTTTTCTATTTGGGTTGGGGCCCTAACTCTGTCCTCCCATGCTCCAGTGGAATATATAGTGGGCTTGGGTCAGCCAGACCTGGGCTCATCACCTGGCTGGCTGGGTGACTCTGGGTAAGTCACTTCCCCTTTCAGAACCTCAGTTTTCTAATTTCCCAGAATGGAGATTAGTGATGAGAGATGCTCAATAATCTGAATCATTTCTGGGCCCCAGCTTCCACTTTCCCTGCCACAGCTGAATCCAGCCTTGGAGATAAGGATGGTAAACACCAACTCTCCAAACCTTGGGCCTGGCAGACATCACTAATCAACCACAGCACTCTTTTCCAGCTACCCTGCATTCGGCCTCAGAATCTTACACAGTACAGTCTAAGTAGCAACACGAGCCCAATGCCCATCCCTGCCCTCGGTAACCTTTCTTTATCCTTTATAGGTGTGGCCTACCTAAGCATGGACAAGAGTCCTGTTCTCAAGTTCCCTCCCACTTCCTAGGTTCTCGGTTCAGGATCAGAAAGGGCCTTCTACGCCACTACCGCCTGCCTGGCTCATGCTTACTTCTTCCCAACCAGAGTGTGGACAGGGCCCACCTGCAGGCCCAGGCCACTCTTGCACTTGAGAACATCCTGACAACAACAGTCATTGCTTGGGTACCAACTATCTGCCAAACACCATGCTAAGAAGTTTACATGCATTTTTTCTCTTGTCCTCATTGTATATTGTAGGAGCTATTATGCCCATTTTACAGATGAAGATGCTGGTGCTCAGAGAGTGAAGTACTTTGTCCATTTTATCCGAAGCTTGTCTGATTGCCACTCAGCTCTGCTGCATCCCACCCCAGCCCTTCTGTCCATACCACCCCAGTGGGCAGCTAGCACAGACCCAGAGTATGGGTAGGTCCTAGGCCCCTCCCCCCTCATGGTATCCAGTCAGCTCTCCCCCTCTTCTCCCATGCTGGCCCCATCCCTCTGCAGGATTCTGCTTGTTCTCCAGTCTGCAGTCACCATGGTAGCTGGCTCAAGTTTCACCTCCTTCCAAAGAAGGAGATTATCTTTTTCTTTTCTTTTCTCTTGAGAGTATATGTATTAAAGCTGGAGACAGTGAAACAAGGAAGGCCTTAGGATCTAAGAAGCAACAGGAGAGAGCCTCCGTGGGACTGCTTTGGCTCACTGGGAAGTCAGAGAAAGGGCCTTGGAGACAGGTTCAGGGCATTAGCCCGGATGAACTGCCACTGCCCATTGCTCCCTGGTTGTGAGTCTCATGGGGACTCTTAGTGTTTAGGAGATGCAAACGTGAGAGGGAAGAAAGGTGTAGGCGTACTCCTGGGGGGGTCAAGAAGGATATTTTCTTAGAGAGGACTCCAAGTTAACCTGAGAGTCAGACATAGTACCCAGTGCAGAGTTCTTTTCTCCTCCCAGGAGCTATAAGCCCCTTCCTGCCAGAGAAGGTGGGGCAGGGGAAGGGGCTGTGCTCTGCAGCACTCATGACACTGGGCCCATAATTAGTGAGGGGCCTCCTGATTCTCCAAGAAGGCTCTCTTTTTCATCTTTCCAGAGAGCTTGAGATCACGTAGGATGCAGCCAGGATGGTAGCTGTGTGGGAGTGAGGTGAGGTGGCTGTAGACCTTAGACATATGCCAGGGGGGACACTGGGGACTAGTCAGGCTTGGTGACTCGGTTGGACGTGCAGGGTTAGGACAGAGACACTGGTACAATATGACATCCCAAGTAAGTCAGCATCCCAGCTTCTGTAGCTGATGGACAGCAGCAAGGCAGGAGGCAAAGGGAAAGGGGAAGGGGCGGGGGGTTTGACACTCAGCTTGTTGGTCTTCTTAGCTGCAAGCACTTTGAAGCCCATGGACTTGAGCAGGGCTGCAGTTGGGCTGAGGAGGAGGTCCACGTAGTAGCCTCCTGGCTGCCGGATGGGGCGCACCTCGTCCTTCTGGAAAATGATCTTGTCCCCTGGGTACAGCAGGGCTGTGAGCAGCAAGAGAAACATGGCCTGTCAGCCCAACACCCCACCCCACACACCTGAGGTTTTGTGGCAGAGGGCAGAGAAGGGTCTTTAAAAAAAACAATAAAGTCACATTTTTGTTTAAAAAGATTTTTTTATATACATGGTTTAACTTTTAAATTTTAAATGATTATAGATTAAAAGTAAATTGCAAAAATAGTGCAGAGGGTCTCTTACCCTCCAACCATGACGTGGCATATATAGGCATACCTGGTTTTATTGCATTTGGCTTTATTTCACTTAACAGGTGGTACTTTTTTTTTTTTTTTACAAATGGAAAGCAAAACCCTCTACCAGTAAAAAGATTATGACTTGTTTTATTGGAATACTTGCTTCTGTTATAGTGGTCTGGAACGGAACATGCAATATCTCCAACGTATGCCTGTAACTACTGCAAGATCAGAAAATGGAGTTGGTAAAATACTGCTAACTGGACTAGAGTTAAGGGAGTTTATAACCAGGTTCGCAATGGCCCTGGGGCTGGGGTGTAAGTAGGATAGAGTATGAGGCCGCACACTCTACAGGGGTGTCCTTGTCAGGAGTCCCAGGAAGAGGTGTGTATGGAGAATTTACCTGAGGCTTCACTAGGTTAACTTAGACCTAGTTGATGGCAGTTTTCTCCTTACCTAGAGTTAGTCTCACAGATAACCTTGGTAGGCTTTTCGAAGAAGTGCAGTACATTAAAAACACTAGGCCAGGGTCTCCATCTTCCTGCAACCATGGAGCAGTGCTTGTCCTAAGATGGTAACACCGGGGCCCTGGCCCAGTATGTAGCTCAGTTATTTAGAACGTCATCCGGATATGCCAAGGTTTTTGGTTCCATACCCAGTCAGGACACATACAAGAAGTAACTCCTACCCCCCCCCCCCCCCCCCCCTAAAATCAATAATTAAAAAAAAAAAAGTTGGTAAAATCCAAAGACCTCAAATACTAGAAAAATGAGGGGAAGGTTACACTCCTGGTTATTAATGTTGGTTATTTGTGGGGAGGGCAGGGATGTGCAGGTGAGAAAGGAGAAGAGGGAAGGGGATATGTAGCACCAACACTTAAAAAAGGTATATAGGGTGCTCTCCCTCCAGGGAGCATACTCTCACCCTTCCCTTCCCCTCCCTCTCCCCAGCCCGGCCCAGGCACCTTACCATTAGCTTCCTCACTGCCAAGCTCTAAGGGCCCTTCCTGTACCTCTATAACTTGTTTGCTAAGCCCGTTTCTTCTAGGAATTACTTTTTCTACCTCTGTAATTTACCTAATAAACGTTCTCTTACCAAAAAACAAAAGGTATATAGGGTTTTAAAAATACATTAAAAATACAGACATGATTTTTAGAATATGATTTACATACATAATTTTGTGTAAATGGAAAAGAAAAATAAGTTTGTGAAAGGACAATCACCGAAATATTAATGGTGGTTCATTCAGGCTGGAGTGGGATTTTTATTTTTATGTTTTCAAAAAAATTTAAGTGAGCAAATATTTATAAAATAAGAGGGAAGAAAAACAATGAAGCTATATTCACTGGGGAGAGGGCCAATGCCTCAGTGTTGTAGAATTCTGGCCCACGAGTGGGAGACCTGGAGTCTGAGCTCACCACATTCTCGTCTAGTACAGACTCGGACATCTCGGTGCTTGTGCTCCTTTGTCTGTAGCAGAGCAGGCCCCTGCCATAAAGACAGCCAACGGATAGTGGCCAGGACAGCGGGACGTGTGCACCTCCATCCAGTATTCTAGAAATCCCATCTAAGAGCAAAGCAGGCTGAGCTGTTCTTCCCCTCCTTTCCTTCTTTCTTCCCAGTGTCCCCACAGCAGCTCTGGTCACAGATGGAACTAGAGTCTTTTCCATCTCGGTCAATCAAAGGCAAGAGGAAGCCCACCCACAGATGCTCCTGTGAACCCATGAATGTGAGACCCTGGCAACGGGAAGCTCATAGACCCGGGAGCTAGCAAAAGCCAGCAGTGGAGAGAATCAGTAGTTGCTTGATGCCTGCTGACAGGAACAGAGAGAGATTGAGAGAGATTGAGAGATTGAGGGAGAGAGAGAGAGAGAGAGATGGATGGATGGATCTGCTGCTCCACCTATTTATGCATTCATTGGCTCCTATATATGCCCTGACTGGGGAACAAACCCACGACCTTGGTGTATGGGGACGATGCTCTAACCAACTGAGCTACCCAGCCAGAGTGTGACTGTTAACTCTTGTTCTTGGGTAAGTCTCTCTGTGTGCCCTTTCTCAGTGAACCTCATTTTCCAGCTCCCAGTATGGCCACAGCTTCTGCAAAGTTCCTATGGGAAAACCTCTGCCCTCAGGCAACTTGCTGTTCGTGTTTTTTAAGCACAGAGAGGAACCTGCCCATTAAATTTACAAAATCATCAATTTGGGGTGCCAGCATTGCTCTGTGGTTATCATGGAAATATTGCTCAGAAGCACACAGTCTACTCGGAGACGTGGAGGGTTCAGGTCTGTTTGGATGTATGAAAACACAATTCTTCCCCCAAGCACAGGGTGGAACCAGTATGGAAATCCTGGTGTTGAGTCCTGTTGTCTGAGCAGGGAGCAAAGGGCCTCAGCAGAACCTGACTCCTGCTTGGTGCATTCCTACCTTGGTGCTGCAGAAGGACCAAACAGGGGGCCTGGCTAGGGAGGCGGTGTTGGAAACACCCAGTACAGCATAGCAGTTGTCACTTCTACCAAATCTCCCTCTTGGAAACTGGGATTGTTCCTTTATGCTCAACTTCAGGACTCCCTTGCTCGGAACTCCTGTCCTCGAGAATGCCAGCTCCCCAAGCTCATCTGGGGAGCCCAGACCTCCAGGCTTGTAGAACTTGTGGAGCTACAGGTTCTAAAACTCCATGTAACAGCAGTGCCCCCGCCACAAGTTACAGCAGCTTGACTGGGTGCATGTCAGCTGGGGAGGGGCAAACCTCAGGTGAACATCTGAGGCATCTCTCTGGGGCCAGCCACAGAGGCCCTTACCTTTTATGAGGATGTCCTCCGTCAGCGGGAGGCCATAGTACTGACAGACCTCCTGGCACTTCAGGTAGAGCAGAAAGGTGTCCCTTCGGAACAGATTGATGAGCTCGCCCATCTCCCCGGGGATGGTGGACGGGAGGCAGTGGTTGTCAAAATGCTTATTCCCACTGCGCACCAGGCGGCACTGCTCCGTGAACTGGATGGAGGGGATTGTGAGCTGCAGAGAGAAAAGCAGTTGGTACACACTTCCCTTCACCTTGCCTCTTTCCTCCTGGCCTGAAGGCTGACAATCTATGTTTCTACACAAGGTCACCATGAGGGGCAATGGCAAAGAATGGGACCCAAGTTCAGGTTTTGAAGTCAGTGGCCGGGGAGAAAAATCACACGTGGTCAGCACATGCGGCCGTTATACAGATGTGCACACATGATGGTGTAATATATACGGTAGGGTACAGTGCAAATGCCCCACATGTGTCCTATTGAAACGTTACATACAAGGGTTTAGCTGCATGAGAATTTAAATTACGTGCAGCCATCTGTGACTTGAGGTGGAAGCCACATGTTAAGGATGGCAGAGCGAGGTCGAAGAGGCCTGGGCAGTGTGTAGCCACTTTTGGCTGCCTTATTTATTTATTTACAAGGAAAGAAAAATCTGTCTTTTTAAAACTTCTAAAGCCAGAATCAGTAAAGTACATCTTACAGGCCAAATCTGGGCCACCACCTGTTTTTAGAAATGAAGTTTTATTGAAACACAGCTGCACTCATTTGTTTAGGTCTGTGGCTGCTCTTGTGCTCCAATGGCAGAGCTGACTTGTTTCGACAGAGACAATAGGGCCCAAAAAGCCTAAAACATTTATTATCTGGCCCTAGGAAAGTTTGCCACTCACTGCTCTAACATTTTGGGTTTTCTTGTCATGCAACTGAATCAGATCTTAGTTGGTATAGCATTTACCAATACCTAACATTTTATTATATAAATGACATTAAAATATGTGTCTATGTGTAGTATTATATTAATATTGTCTGCCTCCATGGCTAGACTGTCTAGACTGGCAGCTTCTTGAGGGGCTGTTTTGTTGTCTGCAGCATGTAGAAGAGTGTCTGGTACATCACAGACTCAATGAATATTCATTGGCTGAATTAATTCAGGCAATCAATTCTTCCTTCCGTTACTGGTCATGTATATCTGGAGTGACTACTCAGAGCCACACCCCATGCCAGGCTCTTGGGTTCCCACTGTGATGAACACACAGGCCTGGTCTCAGGATGCAAAGTCATAATTAAAGAATGGGAGGAGGGGCCCTGGCCAGTGTGGCTCAGTTGGTTGGGCATCATTCCAGGCACTGAAGGCTTGCTGATTAGATTCCTGGTCAGAGCACATGCCCGGGTTTCAGGCTTGATCCCCATTAAGGGGTTTGCAGGAGGCAGATGATCGATGTTCTACTTTCACATCAATATTTCTCTCTCAAAATCAATTTAAAAAATCTAAAAAAAAAAAAAAGAATGGGCCCGGCTGGTGTTGCTCAGTGGTTCAGCGTTGACCCATGAACCAGGAGGTGGTGTTTCAATTCCAGGTCAGGGTACATGCCCAGGTTTCAGGCTCAGTCCCCAATAGGGGGCATGCAGGAGGCAGCCGCTTGATGATTTGCTCTCATCATTGATGTTTCTAGCTCCCTCTTCTCCCTCCCTCTCTCGGAAGTCAATAAAAAAAAACAACTTTAAAAATCTATCTAAAAAAAGGCCTTGGCCAGTGGTCTCAGTGGTTAGAGTGCCAGTCTGGGCATCAAAGGGTCTTGGATTTGATTCCTTGTCAAGGACACATACTGGGTTTCGGGTTCTCTCCCTGCCCCCATCGGGGCACATGGGGGAGACAAGCAGTTGGTGTGTCTCTCTCGCATCAATATTCCTCTCTTCCCTCCCACCTCCCTCTCTTCCACTCTCTCTGAAAAGTAATGGAAAAAGTATCCTCAGGTGAGGATTAACAACAACAAAAAAGAATGGGAGGAGGGGAACCTGATACTTTCAGAAACATTACTGCATTTCATTTTCACAGAAATCTTGTGAGGTAGGTATTGTTCTTATTATCCAGATGAGGGAACAGAAAGGTAAAGCATCTGCTCCCAAGTCCCAGCAGCTAGAAGGGGGTGCAGGTGCAGGGGATTTGCCCCGTGTCCTCCCACTTTGGCTGGGGTACCTTGGCCTGCCGCTTCCTCTGCCGGTACCGCTTGCCGATGTCTTCCATATCCTCCAGGCTCAAGGGCCTTGCCTCCATCAGAGTGTCAACCACAGGCACAGTCAGCTGGTCCATCTTGGGAGGCTTTGGAGCTAAATTCACCTGCTTCTTGGGCAGCTGCCGAGTCAAAGCTTTGCGCTTGGAAGACCTAAAATAGGCTGGAGAGAAGAGATGAAGGAGGGACTGAGAGGGTGCCCAGCCATGGAATCCATCAAGCAGTTAACCAATGTCACCACGCAAGCACCAGAACATCCCTCTGCTCATATTCCATGTGTCCAGTCAGTGCCATCTGCGATACACCTTGAAGGAGCCCCTTCTCTCCATCTCCACTATGGCCTCCTCCCTCAACTGTACCATGGCCTCAGCCTTCCTGTTTCAGTTCTTATTCTCTAGCATCCTGTTTTCACCAAACAGCAAACAGGACCTTTAAAAGATATAAATCACATCCCTTCATTCCCCTGCTTAGAACTCACTCCTGTCTTTACACAGCACTTACTAAAACCCAGAATCCTCTCCTTGGTCTGCAAGGCCTTGCAGGATTTGGCCTCAGCCAACCATCTACTTCATCCACTTGACCCACCTCCTACTCTTCCCTCCTCCCTCACTCCCCCCATCTCCCCCCCTTTTTCTGTCCCCTGAAGATTTTCCTGTCTCAGGGCTTTGCCTTTGCAGTTGCATCTGCTCAGGATTCCCTTCCCCAGGCTGGCTCCTCATCAGTCAGTCACTCAAGTATCAGCTCTGATCGCTGCTTTTCAGAGAGGCCCTCCCTGACCGCCCCCCCCCTCACACACACACACACACACACACACACACTATCCTATTGTCTTCAAAGCATTAATCACTACCGAACATCATCTTGGTTAACCTTTACATGGAAACTCATTGAAGGCAGGGGCGTTGGCTTTTTCACTGCTATCTCCCTAGTTCCTAGAAGAGTCTAGCACATAGTAGGTGTTCAACGAAGATCTAAATGAATGAGAACATACTATTGCCCCTGCCCTGGTTCAGGCCTGCATCGTCCCTGGCTGAAATCCAGGCCCTACCACCTTCTGGTTTGAAAAAAGTGGACAAGTGGTCAGCCTCTCTGAGCTTTAGCTTCTTCCTTGAAAAGCATGAATAGTAGCCCTGTCGTCCAGGGACTTAAAAGATAAATTGAGCTAATGCTGTAGGTAAAGCTACCCAGCTTACAGAGGGTGCCCCCAAATGCTATCACCTTCTCTCTTGTGAGCCAAGGACCCAGACTCTTGCCCCTGCTGCCCCTTTAGGCAAAGCAAGAGACTCCCAAGTCTGCTCACCCTACTTTCTGCAGCTCTCCAGAGAAAAAGAACTCAGCTATGACAACTGTGATAGCACCATTTAAGCAAATACCTGTTGCTTGGCTTCAAGTCTACTTATGCTATATAATAAAAGCCTAATATGCTAAGTGTCTGGTCATCCCATCGTCTGTTCAACCGATCAAAGCGTAATATGCTAATGATATGCTAAGGCTGCTCAACCACTTGCACTGACCACCAGGGGCAGTCAACCAGTCGCTATGACATGCACTGACCACCAGGGGGCAAACACTCCAACCAGTAGGCTAGCTTGCTGCTGGGGTCTAGCCAATTGGGACCGAGCGAGATAGGCTGGACATGCCCTGGAGCCCTCCTGCAGGCCCTCCCCGGCTGACCAACCTCCCGCATCACTCCCCGGCCCTGATCGTGCACCTGTGGGGTCCCTCAGCCTAGCCTGCACCCTCTTGCAATCTGGGACCCCTCGGGGGATGTTGGAGAGCTGGTTTTGGCCCGATCCTGCTTAACACAGAAGCTGCCCCTGGTGGTCAGTGCGCTTCCACGGGGAGCACCGCTCAGCCAGAAGCCAGGCTCATGGCTGGCGAGCACAGCGGCGGTGGTGGGAGCCTCCCCCGCCTCAACGGCAGCGCTAAGAATATCCAACTGACGGATTGGGCCTAAGCCATCAGTTGGACATCCCCCAAGGGCTCCGGGACTGCGAGAGGGCTCAGACCGGGCTGAGGGAGCCCCCCCCCCCACCAAGTGCACGAATTTCATGCACTGGGCTTCTAGTTGGTAAATAATAGGCCCCAAATACCTTTGCTGCAAATATGTATCACGGCACACTGGGGTCATTCACTCAATGACTTGCAGCCAACTACATGGAAAACAATTAGCTTTGGTGATTTATAATGAAAAGGCTAAGAGAGCACGGGTTGGAAAGCACTCCCAACTCAAGGCAACCCTGATGGTGTGCTGGACATGAAAGGTGCGAGAGATTACTGCTGTGGGGGTGGTGAGACCCAGGAGGCAACTATGGGGGAACTCAGGTTCCCTGGGACTTGGTGGGAGTGAGGGTGCCTCTGCCCAGTAGCTTGTTGAGATTAGAGGTCAGAAGTCTGCATGCTGTGCTGTGACACTCCAGGGGACTGAGGAATGGATGCTCTAAGGAGCTGCCTGCTGTCCTCAAAAGAACCAGCCAGTGAGGTCACTGAGCACCCAGCTCAGTGTGACTGGGGACTCCAGAGGCACTGCCTAAATCTTTACCTATGCAAGGAACCCCATCCACTACCCCGCTAGGGTTCTTCCATGACCTTGGGAGGATGAGGAGCTTCTCCTCTTCAACTATGTCTGAAATTAAGTTCCTGACAACCTGGGAGGTGGGGGCAAAGCAAGATTTGCATCATTTAGCAAAAGGAAGATGTGGTTATATTTGGGGAGGGCTCTGGAATGGTGGGTGGTGGTTAAAGGAGGGCTTTAATATTATCTGTAGCTGTTCAAAATTTTTTTTAAATTCTTTATTAGTTAAGGTATTACAAATGTGTCCTCATTCCCCCCATTAACAATTTTTTTTTTTACAATAACTAACCTATAAAGAAGCACGATGCACCCTTGTGTTGTAAAATTCATATCCAGAGCTATGGCAAGTACATTTCTAACTTGCCTCTGTGCGTCTACACAGATGTGGCTCTAGAAGCACATGGCTTGGCAAATGGAACCAGAGCTGTGCACAATCTGTGCGAAACTCGTATCCCTCCTTCAAAACCCAGTCCAGATAGTAGAATACCAAAGTAGACTCTGAACATGTGCTAATTCTGGTTTCTGAATTTAGTTAGCTTTTTATCAATAAGGTGGGGATTAGTAGTAAGAAGGCCTTGGACCCACATACAAATAGAAGGGCTTGGCATTGGGTTCTCAGCCTATCAAATGGGCTTTGGTGGGCTGAAACCACCCTTTGAGAACCATCCCTTAAGGATAAGGACTGGGCCTCATCCAGCTTTTAATGGACAAGGTAGCTTGGTACTCCAGAAAATATCTACTTGTTTGACCTCTGGGCCTGGACATTCCAGAGGCTTGGCCTACCTACAGTAAGCCAGAGTTGGAGAACACACTCAGGAAATGAGCCAAGGCTGCCTCTACCATACTTGCTCCAAGATTGGGGAAGTGAAGGCACGGGGGTGGGGGTGGATACCTACAATCCTTTGTAGTTCTCAGCACGCTTTTCTGCTGAGCCAAGGACCACTGCTTGTAGGTGTTGCTCAGGCTATCCATGGTGATGTTGTTGTGCTTCCCCAGAGAGCTGAGATAGATCACAATATCCTCTATCTCCTGGTTTCCCAGAGGGACTTCAAGCTGAAGAGAGAAGAAAAGCCCCAAATTGGACAGGCTCTGATCCAAATATCATATGAGAATGGTCAAGGCCTCGTCAGCCTGGCCCCACCTTTTAGTCTGGTTTTATCTACAGCCATTCCCAGCTCCAAGGTCCCTGCCACAAGAGCTCAGAGCCCTTTCCTGGCTGCAAACACACCCCTCAATTTCTCACCCTTCCCATTACTCAAATGCCTCCCTTTCAAAGCCTGAAAAACTTCTATCCCTTCTTCAAAACCCAGTCCAGATATGCCATCATCTCTGCAGAATCTGTTACATCTTTCTCTGGGCTCCCACCTGACTTCTTACCAATCCCAATGCCAGCTTTCCTATGATAGATTTGAAGAAGGATTTCACGTGTCTATCATCCTTGCCCATGAGGGACACATAAGCCTCCCTTAACTGAGGGTAAATAGGATAAAAAATACGATACATATCACTCTTTTAAGGAATGAGCAACTTTGCAGGAGCACAGTGCTTGCCAGCCTAGCAAATATTCAAGAAGAAACATTTTAAAAGGAATATAATTTTGTTCTTCAGCTTCTTTAGATAGCAATCACTGTTACTGAGCTTTTTATAAAGCAGGTCAGAACTCTCCAAGTATGAAAAGATTTAATGTTTTGTCATCTTGGTTATGATGAAAAACAATTTATCTTTTTGTTGTTTTCAATGCTTTGAAATGTTCAGATAAGTACATGTCATTTTAAAATGATGATGTGAAAACTGGGATGATTTAAAATCATAAAAGGTGTGGCATCAGCTTTCTAGAATTATTTTATAAGGAACCTTGTATTTGAAGTATATAAAAACTTAATTCAGCAAACTTTTTCTGTAACGTGCCAGATAGTAAATATTTAGGCTCCATGAGCCATATGGTCTCTGTCATAAGCACTCAACTCTGCCATCATAGCATGAAAGCAGCCTTGACAATCCATAGATGACTGAGTGTGGCTGTGTTCCAGTAGCACTTTATTTACAAAAACAGAGAGCAGGCTGGATTTGACTCCCGGGCCATAGTTAGCAGGCCCCTGCACAACCAACAGAACCTTCTATAATGATGGAAATGACCTCAATCTGTGTGTTGCAGTAGAGGAACTGCTTACCACATGCGACTATTGAGAACTCAAAATGTAGCTGGTGTGACTGAGGGACTGGACTTTTCATTTTATTTGTAATTAATTTACATTTGGAATAGCCAGTGAAATTGTGGTCCAGTACCAAGGGTATCACTGGGAGCTGCACAGAGATACTGAGTCAGAAGCTGCTTTTTTTTTTTCATTTAGTAATTTTTTTTTATTGTCTAAAGTTTTACATATGTCTTCTTTTTCCCCAATTGACCCCTCTCCCCGCAGCCATTCCCACCCCAGGCAAGCCCCCACCGCCCCAGTGTCTGTGTCCATTAGTTATGTTAATATACATGCATACAAGTCCTTTGGTTGCTCTCTAACCCCTCCTCCCCTACCATTTGTCTCTGGATCTATTCTTGTTCATCAAATTATGTTGATCA